AGCTAGTTCACGCGCAAGTCACCATGAGCAGAGGGCGTACTTTTCCCACGGTCACCCCCTATTTTTGCGCATTTCATACTAACTTCATACATGCATATTTCTCACTATGTCTGACTCTAACCAACTGCCTCGAGTTTCATCTCAATTCATTCGTTGTCCAAATTCTGGCAACACTAGCCGGGACATTATTTAATCGGCATCGCGTCTGCATTTCATTCGTCAAACGTTTAAAAGCGCTAGTGGAACACCACACCTCTGAAACCCAGCTCGCCCTTTCGTCATTACCAGTGACAAACGACCAATCAGCGAGTTATTTGGCGGCCAATGCGAAGAAAATATCCCTCACGAAACTCCAGCCGACATACTTTATCGCACGTCGATTATTCAGCGGTCGCCGTCTTTATTCTCAATCTCAGACTGCTAATATTTGCCTGTATTATATGATCATTGACTCTATGGCCGGTCGATGTGCCCCACTCTCCATCTTCCGATATCTCAGGGTAAAACCTTAGGCCGGAAAGTAATCTCAGCTAACCACCATGGCGAAACTACCGGTTAAAAATTTTACATCTGCGACAGCAAGTGCAACATATTATTTCTTGTAGATACAGGCGATTAATTTAGCTCCATGCCTTCTGACACTATTCACCGACATTCCCAAAATAACTTTCCTTTTTCTCTAGATTGTCAGTGATTCCCAAATGGCTATATTTGACTTCTGCTTTCTCTCTCTCGACACTGATGATTGATGTTCCTACCAGAAACATGGTTTTGCGATTCAAACCACTTTCGATATTGAAAAGTCAAGTTGGCGAACGCACGTTTTCGGTAATTCTTCCTCAGGCCAATACAATTACATGAACGAATGAAAATGTACAAAATCAACAGTGTTTATAGATGCCTCAAGGGCTATTAAGTCACTAACACTCATCGTCCCCACGCCGCCCGCATGAGAATGTCGGCGGGTGTTAGTCGTCAGGGCTAGGGGAGAGGGGTAAGAGAGTCTTTGAGTAATGATCTTGGGTTGAGTACACGGAGTACCCATCGTCGTGATTAGGGATTTGAGGCGGCATGGCTTCATCACTTGGGTTTGGCGTTGGCCACGGCAGCGAAAGCGCTTGTGTTAGAGTTTTCTGACAGCATAACACCGGATTCACTAACCGTATAGCTACTGCCTCTGCCGTTGCTAGTATCCGTTGGCGTAGGCCTTTAGAGAAGCATGTTGGTGTCCGGTAGACAACCTAAAATGCTTTCTTGGCATCGACTCGGTGGTTCGTATCGATTAAATGCGCGAGAATAGAACTCGAAATCGACCGGGTCTCACCTCTGTCTAGCCAGGCGGGCATATGTTCACGTACCCTCTTTACCAGGCGTCTCGTTGTGCGGCCGATGTATCCTGCTCCACAGGAGCAAGTGAATGAATAAGTGCACATTGATGTGGCCTCCAACGGTAGGCTGTCTTTACCTCCCAAACGTAGGAGGGGAGAGTTTGTGAAGCATACGCGTAAATTCGCCGCAGGGAATGCCCTTCTGATAGCTGTAGTTAAGCGCCGTCGGACTAGTTCGCTCTCTGCGTCTCCTCTAAAAGGCAATCTTATGAATACATCTTTCTTTTCCGCAGTCTCAACAGTGGGCTTTTCAACGCGTTCCCCAATAGTTCGGAGGATTAATCTATCTGGGTATCCGTTCTCCCGAAGTGTGTTCCGCAGCTGTTGAAGTTCTTCTTCAATAGCTTCAGGTGAGCAGATGCGTCTCACTCTAGCTGCCAATCCCTGGACTAAATTCCGTTTGATGTTAAGGGGGACAAAACGGTGGAAATTAACATATTGTCCCGTCCAGGTTTTCATTCGGAACACCCTGCGCTGGATAGACCCATCCTCTTGCCTGTGCAGAAGTACATCGAGAAAGGCAAGTTCGTTATCTGCCTCGGTCTCTGCAGTGAACTTTAGCGAGGGGTGCGCACTGTTGAACTTTTGGACAAGCTCCTCGGTATCGGTGGTACCATCCGGCAGAAGATATCGTCCACGTACCGACGGTAAAAGACGAGGCCATTAATGGTCTCTTGCAAGCTTGTTTTCTCGACTTTGCCCATAAAAACATTTGCAAGGAACGGTCCAAGCGGTGATCCAATCGCCACACCATCTACCTGCCTGTATAATTGACCATTGCTCAGAAATTGGACATTTTGTGTGCAAAGCGTCAGTAGTTCTTTTAGCGTTTTCACAGGCATGTCTATGGCGTAGTTCGTATCACGAATAACATCACAAAGATAGTTTATTGTTTCTGCCACGGGTACGTTGGTAAACAGCGATGATACATCCAGTGATAAAATCCTCCGTCCGCCAACGTTCATATTTTTGATAGCCTCGACGAACTCAAAGGAGTCTTTTAAACTTCGAGGGTATAGGTAACTTTGCAATGGCTTTAGTTTTTCCACTAGCCATTTTGCAACGGTATGATAGGGCGAATTCCTCATATCCAAGATTGGACGTAGAGGCAGCCCTTGTTTGTGAATTTTAGGAAGGCCGTACATTCTTGGTATTGTTGAGCCCACCGGTCTCAGTCGTTCATAATCTTTGCTAGACAAATGCCCTTCTTTGCAGAGATCTTTGAGAATAGTCGTCAGCTGACCCTCGACAGCCTCCGTGCGATCCTTATCTTTCTCAGATTTTGAGAACTTGGAACGATCCGAAAGTATTTCCTCTAGTTTCGCCATATAATCTGTCCTATCCATCAGTACTACTCCTGAACCTTTATCCGGTCTAGTAAGCACAATGTTTTTGTTTTTACGAAGCTCCCTAAGGCTATCGATATGGGCCCTTGTCAAGGGACCCT